AACATATAATGTATTATTTGTTTCAGAGGTACAGGTCTGTGATTCAACAATCTTACACAATTCACAGTGCTCACCATAGCACATACCCTCCCCAATGACTATCACCCAGCCACCCCATCCCTCCCAACCCCCAACACTCTAGCCACCCTCAGGAAACAAAATTTACGTATCTTTCTAAGATAATTCTAATTAACAACTCATTCACAAAATCTTCCCAGATCATCCTCTGCTGGGAGAAAATTCTCTATATGCCTTGATACTTTATTTGCCTCTTTCAATCCTTATACCTGCAGGTCTTTCCTGATCTGAGTAAAAGTTCTTAAAACCATATTCACAAGCCTTTTTTTTTTCTTTGATTTTTTGCTCCAAATAAGTCATCATTCTTAACATGGTAGATAGATGTTGAATCAATAATTTGATGAAGTGTTTTTAGATGGTTGAGAGAACACTTAATTATTGAATTACAGTTGAATGGTAATAGTGGTTGATTTTAGGAAATCTGACCTAAGGGGAAAACAGTTTCCTTTATGTCTGAACTTCAAACCTAGCTAATAACTTCTCTTAGCCCTCTCACACCCTCTGTGGACATGTGTTTATTTCTAATAATTCACAGTTCAATCTGTTGTTAAAGCAACAAGAAAAGCAGGGTTAAATAAATGTATAGATAAGTCAGCTCTTTTATTTTAGCTCTAATATCAACTTTCTTCCTGATCAATTCTTTTTGCCATAGATACCAACAACTATAAAAATGGATCAATGAGTAAGTCTATGTTTTTCCTTCTGTCTCAAACTCAAGTGCCTAGTAGAAGAGAAAAAAGACACTAAATCCATCTGAATGATTTGCCAATAATGAAAAAATAGAGTTGACTTTATTTGTAGGGATTATGTAGTGCTGTTTTCACTGGCATCTTTGAAAAATCAGCATTCCTTGTTTGGTTCCCTAGAAAATTACATTGATTTCTTATCATTCCTCAGAACATGAATGGTAATATTTCAATAAACTGCTTAGGGTTCTAGATGAAATCATGGATGTAATATCAGATTAGAACTTTATTACTTACTGAAGTAAAGTAGCTCCTATTCCAATAGAAGATATTAAATAGTTCAAATAGAATAGGTACCTGGATCTAGATTGGCCCACTTCTTCAAGAATCATAGAAAAGTGCTTCCAGGCTTTCTCAGCATGGAATGAATGTGGAAGAAGTTTCTTTGAATCACCAAACAAAGATAGGAAATAATCTTCTCCTTCCCCAGTTACTGGTATCTCAGGAGCAAGGAGCAGAGCCTGTCTCTTTGTCATTATGGAGCTGTTGACTCCTTTCAAAGAAACCAAAGAGGAAAGCAACAAAAAGAAGTAAATAAAAGGACATTAAAAGAACACAAAGCCTCTATCTCTATTCTTTGCTTCTACAAAATTATATTCTTTATACATTTTACTGTCACTTTCAAACTCAATGAGGAAAAAGCTATAAACCAAAGTCTATGAAATAACTAGTAAGTGATTATTTTTAGTGACACACAATTCCTAGAGATTATGTCAGTTATCTTAAAATATCAACAATACCATTAGCATAATGACTTTTATTTAACTGATTATTCAGTTGTAACTAGAAGCATCATAAGTTTTCAAGGAGGTAAACATTTGAGTTTCTCAAATTTGGATATGTTATATATAAATACAACTTTATTTCATATTAGCCATCCTCCCCAAATTACTACCCATAAATTAAAGCCTCAAATGAACCCTTCCTATGAATAATTAGTAATTTTGCCAGGTAAAGACTTAAATTTCCTCTAATCAACTAAAATAGTTTTTAGAAAGATAGAGTAATTCTTAATCAGACTCTAGTATCCTCTTGGAAATTTGTTCTTTTAAAATTATCACTACTAAGATTTAAATACAGAACAGTTTTTATAATTTTGCATGGAAAGAAGCAGGCTGGGTAAATCTAATGATGTGTCTGCAAAGAGTGAGTAACACTACAGAGAGAGACAATGATGAAGTGGATAGAACACTGTGTCTTGGATTTAGACAGACCTGCAATTGTATCCCAGCTCTGCCACTTAGTAAGCCAACTAATTCTCCATTTTCCTGAACATAAAATAAGGCAATGTGAAGATTGAAGAAAATGTAGATAACTTTCTAGTGTAGTGTCTAGTTTTTAACAGGTATTTAGTAAGTGATAGCAATTATTGTAGTTCAGGGGCTTTGGTTAACGTGACACTGTGTCCAAAATCATCAAAGGACTGAGACAATCTAGAGTATGCTTTATATTCTTGTATCTTTAACAAAACCAAAGCGAGGTGAAAGATGAAAAATAATAAACACATAGTTTCTAAAAAGGATTAAAGAAATGTTTGGAATTAAATTAGTTCATTCCCAGTCACTTGAGTATTTACTTAATCCTTGAGTTCCTTTGGGGAAAGAGATTATATAGTATCCTTTTTAATGGTTCATCTTGAGGGATGAAAACCTTTATACTATAAAAAGCAAGAAGACAGATTAATTTTAGTCCTAGTTGTTATTTCACCTAGAGGAACAGATGGAACGGAACCAAATGCAACAAGTTTCAGTGGACCCAGGCATTTATCTACAAAACCCGAATCTACAGTAACTGAAGGAGAAGACTACACACCCCAGCTCAATTCTCATCTTGCAAGGGGAAACCACTATATTTTGTTTTTCCCCCAAGAACTTGTGCAGTTTAATCCAAATATAGAATATATACCATGATGATAACAGGGATAAAGAAGGAAAAATATTCCCTCCCTGGATGTAAAGTTGGTATTTTCACTTTTGAGTATATGGATTTTGGTCATTGCTAAAGGTCAGTGTGATCTTAGGAGGCTTCTTTAAAAAGTGCATTATAGGCATACAAACAATGAAGCATAGGGAATAATGGCAGTAGGTCAAAATCCTACATAACACTGTGTCACAAGTTTAGGAAAATGCCAGAAACGAAATATAGATAAGCAGCAGCCAGGCTTAAATATCCATAGAATAATAGAGGAAAATAGAGACATCAAGTAGTCATGGGTGTGTTTATGCTACCAGTTTTGAAACTTGTTGACTGGTAATTGAAATACAGACCCCCAATCTAGCCTATTCAATGAGGAGGTGCTTACAGATATATTCATATTCACGACTAATTTTTTATTAAGCACTTACTATATGCTAGGTGATTTTCATAAGTATTTTATTTAATCCTTAGGCCAGCCCTGTGAAATTGATATTTTAATCCCTATTTTGCACTTGTGGGTAATGGAACTCAGGGATAACTAACCTATTATCTCACAGTGTAGGTAGAAATATCCTTTAGACCTAAGTCCTCTGTTTCCAAGACCATGAGTTTTTCAGTAAACCATGATAACATACTCTTAAAGTTCCCTAACATCATGAGGAACACACTGTGGATATTGCTGAGTGCATTGCTTACACTGTTGGCAACTGTCAAAACCCAACTTTTTCCTATTGTAGTACTGTTTTCGTTTTCTTCTCCAAATTCATTATTGTTCTCCCATCTTTCCACCATTTTCTTACCATTTATTTTGCTTCTTTCTATTATATGTCTGTCCTTTCCTTACTTAAGCATAAGTCTCCTAATGGCACAAATACACAAGACATTGCTTAATCTTTCTCGTAGTGTTCAGAGGAAGGGGAGTTAATGCTATACATTAGAATTTTTATCTAGCAATTCTAGAGCATCTAAGCCATCAATCCATGAACCATTATGACAATTCAAGATATTTTAATCATAGGGATGATACATTTGGCCACATACATTTATATGACCTGAATATGACTCAGTGTTAGGATCAATGGTGAGCATAATCAAGTTACTCTGCATATGACATTAAGAAATCTGTGTTATTGGAAGTCATTCTGACATCTAGGCATATAAAGAAGCTATTGAACTACATGTGTTAAAAATAGTCTCAAAAAATTTGGTACATGTTTTGCTTACCCAAGCTGTTTTCCGATCTGGAAAGGCCCACTCCTGTAGTTTTAGGAGTCTTCTGCCCAATTGTTGATATAGTTATTCCACTAAACTGAGGGCTAGACGGATTGTAATCAAGAAGCATTTCATAGGATAATGACCGTGACAATGGCAGTGTAATATCTGAATTCATTGTCGAAAAAAAATGTACTGAAGATCGCTGTGTCATTGGGAGACTGTCTTGGGTGTCTTTTCTTCTGTGTACAAAAATTAGTATAGTAAGCAAAGTAAGAAAGTCAAAATGAATAGATACGAACATAAGAATCATGAACTATGATTATTACCCAGAGTTCTGCTTTTCAAAGTTTATATGCATTTACATAAACATAAGGACAACTTATTGTTGTAGTTTTAAAATCTAAATAGGACATTTGAGTGTCAAGAAATGCTTTTATCTACTCTTTTATCTAAAAATCAGTCAATCGGGGGTGCCTGGGTGGCTCAGCTGGTTAAGCATCTGCCTTCAGCTCAGGTAATGATCTTGGGGTCCTGGAATTGAGTCCTGCATCGGGCACCCTGCTCAGTGGTGAGTCTGCTTCTCCTTCTCCCTCTGTGCTCCCTCTCCTTCTGTGCTCTCTTGTGCTCTCTCTCTCTCTCAAGGAAATAAATAAAATCTTTACTAAAAAAATAAAAATAAAAAAATAAAAATTAGTCAATTGCTACTGTAGATGATTTTTAAAAAGTGCAAAAGTAGAAAGAAGAAAACAAAAATCATCAAAATGCTACCAACCAAAAATTTTACCAAAAAATCACCAAAATGCTACCAATCATTTCATTCCAGGCCTTTTTTTAAATTATGTTATGTTAGTCACCATACAGTATATTACTAGTTTTTGATGTAGTGTTCAATGATTCATTATCTGTGTATAACACCCAGTGCTCATTACAACACGTGCCCTCCTTAACACCCATCACCCTGTTACTCCATACCCCCACCCCCCTCTCCTCTTAAGCCCTCAGATTGTTTCTGAGTCCACAGTCTCTCATGGTTCATCCCCCTCTCTCTTATTTCCCCTGCTTCAGTTTTCCCTTCCTTCCCATAATGTCCTTCATGCTATTCCTTATGTTCCACATATGAGTGAAACCATATGATAATTGTCTTTCTCTGCTTGACTTATTTCACTTAGAATAATCTCCTCCAGTTCCACCCATGTCGATGCAAATCGTGGGTATTCATTTTTTCTGATGGCTGAGTAATATTCAATTGTATACATGAACCACATCTTCTTTATCCATTCATCTGTTGAAGGACATCTTGGCTCCTTCCACAGCTTGGCTGTTGTGGACATTGCTGCTATGAATATTGGGATGCAGGTGCCCCTTCTTTTCACTACATCTGTATCTTTGGGATAAATACCCAGTAGTGCAATTGCTCAGTCATAGGGTAGCTCTATTTTTAATTTCTTGAGGAACCTCCATACTGTTTTCCAGAGTGGCTGCACCAGCTTGCATTCCCACCAACAGTGTAAGAGGGTTCCCTTTCTCCATATCCTCACCAACATTCGTGTTTCCTGCCTTGTTAATTTTTGCCATTCTAACTGGTGTGAGGTGGTATCTCAGTGTGGTTTTGATTTGAATTTCCCTGATGGCTAATGATGTCAAACATTTTTTTCATGTGTCTGTTAGCCATTTGTATGTCTTCTTTTGAGAAGTGTCTGTTCATGTCTTCTGCCCATTTTTTTACTTATTTGTTTTTTGGGTGTTGACTTTGATATATTCTTTATAGATCTTGGATACCAGCCCTTTATCTGATAAAACATTTGCAAATATCTTCTCCTATTCCGTGGGTTGCCTGTTAGTTTTGTTGACTATTTCCTTTGCCATGCAGAAGCTTTTTTTCTTGATGAAGTACCAAAAGTTCATTTCTGCTTTTGTTTCCTTTGTCTTTGGAGACATGTCATGAAAGAAGTTGCTGTGGCCAAGGTCAAAGAGGTTACTGCCTATGTTCTCCCCTAGGATTTTGATGGATTCCTATCTCATATTGAGGTCTTTCAT